GAGAGTTCACTCAGAGCGGACAGCTGGACTGGATTGGATTCCTCAGAGGAACAGCGGAAGCGTCTATTTCCATACTTACCAGGCTGTCCGGGTCAGGAGTCGAGCCACTCACCATAGTGGTTGCTCAAAAGCTCTGCTCGCCGCTTCGGTTATCTGGAGATGGACAGCGCAGGGTCACGGAGGCACTCTCATTCCTGAAGTCCTTCAGTTCTTTTGGCGATGTCCTTTGGTTCGGCTTTGGCATTCGTCACGTTGTTCGAAGCCTCGCAACAAGTCGTGAGGGTCTCGGCTGCGTGGCTCTGTGTGCGGCATTGGCAGAAACACACAGTGCGGACGTTGCGGCCCTTACGCTGTCGAACTACGCGGACTTGACAGCCGCACCTCGTGAGATTACCCCGTCTATCGCGCAGTGGAAGAGGCTGGTGCAGACATGCAGCGGAGCCTTGGCTCAATCCGATTTCGGCGATGTAGTGCGGGAGTTTACGCAACCAACGCGGCTACACAACACGTTCGTCGAAGCATCTGACCCACAGGCTTTGGCTGAAGCCTTAAGATATCTGGCTATGGTGACTTCGGGGCGCTTAGACTCCATTGCATTCACAGGAGGAGCGGAATGTGGCTGGGTTGGTGCCGTATCGTACTGGCTCTTAGGGCTCTCCGTATCTATCCAGACAGGAGAAGGGCCGATCACATTTTATAATAGCTCACTCAAAGACGGTTCGAAACATGCGCAAGTCAGAATCATATACGACCACAGTATCGAAAACCACTTTGAAGCAAGATCTATGGTGGTGAAGAAGAGTCACAGACTTAATAGCTTGTCGGAGTTGATAAGAGATCAACTCGCTCCAGGATCGGCCACCTTGCGGTTACAAGTACCATGGGAATCTGTGTTGACGGACACATTTGGCTCTAAACCCATTTCGATTCTTACTCAGGGTCTTCCCACCTTATTCGTGACCGCTGTCGGAAGCGTAGCAAGTCTCTTCGAAGCGGTGGCGACGGCTAGAGAGGACGTTGATCCACCTGATCTGCTCCGCCAGAATTCGGAATACCTCGAAGGAACATATGGCCGAGGGTTTGTGTACACGATGTGGAATCGCTTTCAGGAACTACCGAAGGCACGACAAAGCGAGGCCATAGATCATCTCGAGCCGAAGTTCAACGAGGCCCGTACGACTTACGAGAGAGCACTTTTACAGATATCCAATGCTTGCGAATGTGATCGACATGGAAACGGAAAAGCATCAATATGCAGTGTGGCTTTCCTGGAGACAATTGTCTACCTTGCGCGAGCATTGCCAGGCTTCATCGTTGACGAGCGTATCCGGCCTTCTATGAACGGCATTTACGGAATTTACGAGTTAATGAAATCGCGACTGGGCTTAGATCCAGTTGACAGGCTCCTGCATCATACTTATGAAAACTCTCTTACACGGGCAACAAGAGTGTTCGGAGGTGTCTCCCCATCCATGATCCGTCAGGGACAGAGTGAAGCTATTTCGGCAACAGCAGGAAATGGCTTATGTTGTTATCTTGATTCATTATGCTGTTTGTCCGACTCTGCTGAAAATCTATCTCGTGTCCACATCGTGCCTGGCTGCATACAGTTGGATAACAGAACGTTTATAGAAGTTCGTGACTCGGCATTCGAGGCGCCGAGATACAAGGCAATAAGCTCGGACCTTGTCAAAACAGTAGACTATCCAACCAGTGCCTTGCCTGACAACCTTAAGGTTGAAGCTGTTGCGACAGAAGCAGAAAGCTACGTTAGTTTTTCTTGGAAGATCACAACACCACAGCTGGAAACATGCTGGATACCGGCGGCTCAATTGGCTGCTGCGGCCATTGCTTATCAAGGACGAGTATCTTGTAGATCACACGATTGCTTGAAGATGAACAAGATTCCAGAAATACTTGTAGTCACCGGCGAGGGCGTGTATGATCCCATAGAGGCTTCATCGGGGACGATTCGTTTTGTTCCGAAGACTGGACCCGCGTGGTGCGTTTCTCTCATGTCGGGAGTTTTCAGTGGGCGGCGAACCGCATTCATGTCGTTCGGCGGGTACAATCCGTCCTACTTCATCGACCATAAGCCTATAATACTACAGAAGGGAGAGTGTTTGGATTGCTGCGTCAAGGCGCTGATGAAACTGAGCGGCGGCGAGGTCATATATAGGATTTAAGAAAGGAATGATATAAACCGTGTATAATTAGTGTGAAGTGCTTGGAAACGTAACTCGCCAACATCCTGGCAAGTTTTGGCGAACATCCTAGTCTCTCGGTAGCGTAGAGGACAAGCATCGGCTAATGAGCTGAAGGATTGTGCTGAGTCATGAGAACCAAGGCTATTGTAAATGCTGTTGGTTCGAGATTTGAGGCCTTACTCATGGTATTATTATCTATGGCTCGCTTCCCTGGCCATTGATATATCATGGTCTTTCTCAAGTCTGCCAGGACGGTAATGTAGAACGGTTCCGTTACGAATTGAGGCTTACGTGGTGAACTTCCCCAAGCATGGCGTTCTGGATCGAGGCGTACTGCGTAGTCATCTAGGAAAACAGAGGCCCTGATATCAATGCATTTCATTGTGAACTAGGACATATAGGTGTCAATTGCTGTGTACTCACCGAGTGTGTCGCGCGCGCAAGGCGCCTATGGGTTCCTTGAATTAGACAATGATGCCGGGGTATCCATGCTATCCGCCCCGCAGGCGCCATTACGGTGCTCTACAGCAAGCTTCACCGGCCGTAGAGCCACTTAGTTCAGCTCTTAGACCCCTTAGTCTAACGGTACTCGGTAGACGTCAGCCATAGACATCATCAGAGCATAAGGGACGACTATCTATTCGAAATAGGCTTACGAATTCATAGCTAGCGATTAGTTGGTTCAGAGTTGGATAACCCATTTATGTCCCATATCGTGTAGATATTATTTACTTTCTGTTCGCTAGTTGTTTAGTCTCTCGTTATCGTATAGCTTGTCGAATGATTATATTTGCCTTTCTCATAATTAAGCACCAAAATACTGACGGTGAAAATATAAGATTTATCGTAGAGGTTATAGCTTATATAACCAGCGCATATCTAACGGATGGTAGTAGATCGATCGAAATCATAAAGCCTCGCATGGGTGCGACAAGTGTAGCTTAAAGACTATCCTTACATGGTTGTTTCCATCTTTTGGTAGATGGCAACTTTAGCCGAGGTGGCCAAAATAACGAGGCCCCTGATATATACCTGAGGCGGATGCTAGCTTACCCTACGCTTAGGTTAAAGCAGTATCAGCTTAGGTTAATGTACGACAAAGGCAATTGCTCAGGGCAACTTTCGGGAAATGTATAAGGCTGTTGCGGTATGGCGTTATTTGTCACTGGTAAAGGTTCTTCCCATTAATCGTCGCATACAGCTCACCGGTCCTATCATGGCAGATATGTATCACGCCAAGGATCGCGGAAAGCCTTTAGCTCCAGCAACTCTGTTACCCTATCTCGGTCCCGCTCTTGGCCTCATCATAGGCGGTGTTTTATCTGATCAGATCCAATGGCACTAGCTCTTCTGGGTTCTCTCAATGTTCGATGCCGCGATTACAGTCATTGGTGCCCTGCTTCTCCGGGAGTCTTATGCCCCTCACCCCTTAACGCGGCTGGCTGCTGCTCAAGACCCCCTCCCCTAGAAGACACGAGACTCCATTTACGAAAGCTTTCTATGTCGATCTACTTGGGAAGCTTCGCGTCAACCTGTTTCGACCTATACAACTTCTGATCTACCGTCCTGTTATCCAACTCATTGCATTTGTGATGGCCGTCAACTTTGGTGTGTACACACTACTTCTTTCAACATTCGCTACCCTCTTCCTAGATAAGTATCACTGATCTGAGCTGATTAGTAGTTTGCATTACATTTCCATCACTCTTGGAACGACCATACCCGCACAGGTTGGAGGCCGTCTGATGGACTATACGTAGAAGCGGCTCACGGCTCAGAACAACGGAGTGGCAGTACTAGAACATCGAGCACCGTATATGTTGCTTGGCTCCATTCTGATGCCTGCTGGGCGTCTATGGTATGGATGGTCAGCGGAAGCGGGAATAACTTGGGTCATGTAGACATTGGGGCCGTCATCGTTGTGACGGGATGCTTTATTGTGGCCCAGGGGTTGTTAGCTTATTTGCTCGACGAGTCAAGCATGCAGCCTCCGCATCTCGTGTGCTGTCGAATGTCTTTGGCTTCGTCTTCCCCTTCTTTGAACCACAGTTAATAATCATTTGGGCTACGGTTGGGGAAACTCACTTCTGGCTCTGCTTTTTATTGTGTTAAGCCTTCCTGCCCCCTTCATCTTTTGGTTCTGGAGATCGAAGTTGCGGTCATTAGGCAGACATGACCAGTAAATTGATGTCAGTATCACACTTTGTCACTTGGTATCTACCCTTCATTGTCCGCCGACTTACCATACTGCCAGATTATCTACTCCTTGACAGGTTGTGGAAGCTTCAATATTCTCAGTTTACGTCTTGCCACCACGCTCTAGTACCTACTTCCTCCTTGAAAACATCTTCCACTTCTCACTTATTAAAAACTAGGTAATAGTTCTCATCTTGCATTTGCGGCTCCCAGTCCTCATATTGCAGTCAGTTTACTGACTTACTTCACGCCTTCGACCCAGGCAGCAGACCGCCTATCCTTTCCGTCTGATCTAAGGTCCTCATTGCAGATTTATGCTTTCTAGAACGATCTAGGCTCCTACCTGAATCCCCAAAACCGTTCCTTCTTTTTGTGGCTTCTCGGAATCCTGTAACGCTCAACTATCTCCACTCCTTCGTCTCCAACACCTATCTCGTATTACCTTCTCCTTCCCATCCTCATCTTCCAGTTTAAACTACAGAAGATACTCTGGTCCTGAGGCAGTCCAGAGAGAGAGCCATCTTGGCTATAAGTGGAGGACGCAAATATCCATATCAGGAAGCACTCACCTTCCGTGTCCGCCCGATAGACGTCAAGATGGATTCACCAGACCTTCACTTCCTCGACAAATACGCGATCAACAACTGTCGTCGGGTGTATGACCATTGCGTGCCGCAAGAATACACCAAAGGTACCATTTTGCACGTTCGCAACTTCCATTCAGCTTCTACTCAAGCTCTCCTCAGCGAGGAAGACCGAGAGGGCACTACTCCGCTGGTCCCGACTGCCGCAGAGACAGCTCCTGTCAAGCCGCCCAAGACCACAGACTGCATTTGGGTGGGTATGGCTCTCGGTAGCGACAAGTTGGCGGCCATCAAGCAGGAGGAAGGAGCTTCGAGCAAGATTGAGCCCGCTGAGGGATCTGCTTCTGCTTCCAAGGACGATCACCCCACTGCAGATAATCTACCGAACGAAGCACGCGCGACCAAACGCAAAGCCGGCCGAAACTGGGACTTGTTGCGGGAGCCCAAGGCTGCGGACATCATCTCCTTCGATCCGCGCGCGAAACGTGTCGTGGTGAAGAAGGTGAAGGGATATTCCTTCTGGGCGTTAAACCACCCACATGCCGTCTCAGGCTTGAGCACTGGCTACATGGTCAACAGTGAACAGATTTACTTCTTCAGAGAGTTCCGAGACGACTTCAAGAAATCCCAGAGAGATCGTTGGGTTGCCTCGTACAGCAAAGCGCAAGAAGCCTATGATCGGATTGGAGGCCCTATCGAAACCCCTCAACCGGCAAATCAGGGAGTACCTGAAGTTGAGGACGACCACACTGCCGACGATTCTAAAGTTTCTGTCAACGAACACGAGAATGACGCTAAACAGAATGCACCCATCGAATCTGATCAGCAAGCTGATAATCAACTTGCAGTTGAGGCGAATGTGGTGCCCGGCCATGACGAGGAGATGAATACGACTAACGCCTTACAGCAGGTGGACATGCTCGGCATTCATGTCTACATGGATCAAGAACTTCAGCAAAGCGTTGAGCAGGCAACAACGAAGAAAGGCTCCAAGATCGTTCAGGACCAGGGACCATCTCATACGGTCTCAGCTATGCCGGTCGCGTGCTCCAATATCATCTCGATTCGGGATACATCTTCCGATCTCTCAGAGCCGAGAGACTTAAGAGCCTTTAGCCCTCTAACAGAGATTGGTGATGAAGTAGGACTTGGGATCAAGGAAATCAGTATCCAGAATCAAGTTACAGAGCGGGTTGCTGATGCTGCCGTTCGCGCGAACGGCAAAGGCGCCAACGCAATGCCAGTCCATCCGAAGATCCTAGACCCAGAGAGCCACAGGTCAAAGCCCAAACGCCACCGTGCTCTGGAAGACGATGGATACATCGCTGATGATGACAACTATCAGCAACAGTACACCAACAGAGTGGCCAAGGTGCTGAAGGCCCTAATCGACAAGCTACAGAAACGAGGACAGGGAGCTTTGCTTCACCAGATTCACACTCTGGCAAAGTGCTTAGACAAGAAAGAGGGGCCGGCTCACGGATCCGCTCTGACAGTTTCGCTGAATATTCCAGACAAGATCCACGACAAAGATTGCTCCAAGATGCTTGCTGAACTATACAGCATCTTCCCCTACCTGAAAGCAGACACCGAGGGCATGAAGCCGAAGACGCTCGCGTGGATGTTAAAGGGACTTCGTCTCACTGGTTCATCGGTCGACCTGCCGTTGATCAGAGCTTACTTGGTAGCTTTCAACTTGGAGATGCGCCGGGAAATTGGTGACAAAATTCCAAAGCGCGATGAGTTCACCGTGGAGAGACTTATCGACATGCTTTGCGCGGCTCGCGACCATGCTGAGGCGATTGTGCACCATGCGGGTCCATCTGATATGAAAGCGGCGGGGGACAAGGACTTTCCTCACCCGGATGAGAACGGCGAAGTCTGGGCGCATATGAATTGGACTGATACGCGAACGACTTGAGAGCTTGGTTGTCGGCATCGCTATGGGACTACACGCACCGACGGCAGCCATTGACTGCTTTTTCTTCCTTCTCTTTTCTCTCTCTTTCTTATCATACTGGCGGAGGCATTTGCGGGGATTTGACTTTTTTATTCTTTGTTTTGATGGGTTCAAGACAATCACCAGGCATGGTTTTGGGGATGCCCCAAAGGATCCAACTTCATGCTACATTGCTGGTTTGCATGAGACGAGTGGTCATAGATGGCGTTTTATATCCACCACCTGAAGGCCGCTTATCGGTCGCTCAGAGTCTTCGAAACTGCTATTGCTTAGCACAGATAGTACTCTAGACGTTCGGATATGGGTCAGACAGAATAATTGCAATCCGCTTCCACTTTAGAAGCGTGGACTTTGATCCCTAAATTCAAAATTCGCCGAGCCTCGCCGCAGCCGCTATCAGGCATATTTGTGCAGCAGTATTTAATCAGCACCACTTCAGCATTTAAAAGGATATATTAGGTCTGAATCAATATCTTATCCTCCATTTTCAACTTCTGTTCATCGAATACCCTCCCCTAAGACCATCTTGTACAAACATCTTGAGTTACACAACGAGATATGGCAGAGTCAAACGCGACATGTACAGGGTGTGGAGAATGGATCAATGGCGCGGAGGGATGCACAGACTGCGCAGAAAAGCGAGCATGAGGTCGTCTCATGAAACTTTGATTCAAACCACGCCATGTGAGTATGTCACCAGGTGATGCACCTTGACGAACGCAAGGGTTAATGATGAAATAGTGACATATATCAATATCAGATGTGAGGAATCATGGCGCTCGACCCTTGTTTTTCCAATCACTTTATGATCCTTAGTATAAGTACAAAGTCCAAGGTGAATGTGAGCTCAGACGTTGGATGCTGGAGATCTTAAAACGCCCTTTTCCAGAAACCTGGGGTTTGAGGGAGCCGTTGTTCCCCGACTTTGTTTATATGCGAGACTATTGATTAAAACGATACTCCACGCTCTTTATGTGTGCAGAACGCAAAAATAAATTTCTATTACATATTTGAAACAGTGAGTATGAGTATGATAAAGATGTCCTACATTTCGTAGAACAGTGTATATCATCGATTTTTTGGGTGTCCTTTTTGGTGGCTGAAGTCATGGTTGAGGTCTCGTAGGTTGTATGTAGGCCGCCAAGATTGAACCCCGGCCCTGGTGGGACCCCACTACAAGCTCCCCGTCCAATCATTTCCTACCCCACCCGAGATTTCTAGGCCTTTCGATGGAAGCTTCGCCTTACCAGTGAGTGGGCTGCACTGCTTTTATTTTGCTACGGCTCTCCTCCAGCTCACTCTCTCTGCCTGATCGATCTCCAACGACAAGACTTTCGAGTGTGGCCCTGCAAACCCCGAGAACCTCAATCCCATACAGATCCCAAACAGATCCGGACCGACCTTCTCCAACATCAACTTTGCCTTCACACCAGCAGCCATGTCGACCGCCGACGAGCTCAAAGCTCTGGGCAACAAGGCCATCGCCGCAAAGAACTTCGACGAGGCTATGTAAGTCTGCCCCGGCCTGCCTCCCTTCCTAGCAATACAACACAGTCACTCCATTTTAAAATACTATAGAAAACTCGCATGCTGACATCCCTTCCCTTCCAGTGACTACTTCACCAAGGCCATCGCCATCACACCCGAGAACCACATCCTCTACAGCAACCGATCCGCCGCCTACGCCTCCAAGAAGGAGTGGGACAATGCGCTGAAGGACGCCGAGAAGACCACAGAGATCAAGCCCGACTGGCCAAAGGGCTGGAGCCGCAAGGGCGCAGCTCTGTACGGAAAGCGTGATCTGCTCGGTGCCAACGACGCCTACGAGGAGGGCCTCAAGCTGGACCCAAACAATGCAGGCCTCAAGAATGATCTCGCCAGCGTGCAGAGAGCGATGGAGCAGGAGGCGGGCATGCCAGGTAGGTGCCAATCGCTGCTGCAAAGCCATATTGTGACATGCTGACTTACCTCCCCAGGCATGGGCGGTGATCCGTCTGGCGGCCTCGGACAGATGTTCAACGACCCTCAGCTGATCCAGAAGCTCGCCTCGAATCCCAAGACCAGCGCCCTCCTCGCAGACCCGACCTTCATGGCCAAGCTACAAGCCATCCGCAACAACCCCAAGAACACACAGGAGCTCTTCAGCGACCCGCGGATGATCCAGGTTCTTGGCGTCCTCATGGGTGTGGACATGGATATGGCGATGCCGCCTGAGGGTGGTGCTGCCGGCGCCTCGTCTAGGCCCACCGAGGTTGAGGAGGAGATGCCAGATGCTCCGCCACCGAAATACACTCCACCCCCGCAGAAGAAGGCCCCCGAGCCCGAGCCCGAACCGGAGCCGATTGAGGAGGACGAGGAGGCCGTTGCCGCCAAGAAGGCCAAGGAGGAAGCCGACAAGGAAAAGGCCATCGGCACGGAGAACTACAAGAAGCGCAACTTCGACGCCGCGATCGAGCACTACCAGAAGGCGTGGGATCTGCACAAGGACATCACCTACCTCAACAACCTGGGCGCTGCGTACTTTGAGAAGGGCGACTATGCCGCCTGCGTCGAGACCTGCACCAAGGCCGTGGAGGAGGGCCGGTCGCTGTACGCCGACTTCAAGGTGATCGCCAAGAGCTACGCGCGCATTGGGTCCGCGTACGAGAAGCAGGGCGACCTGGAGAAGGCAGTCGAGCACTACAACATGTCCCTCCGCGAGCACCGCACGCCGGACGTAGTCAACAAGCTGCGTGCCGCCGAGCGCAAGAAGATCGAGGACGCCAAGAAGGCGTACGTGGATCCGGCCAAGGCGGAGGAGGCGCGCGAGGAGGGCAATGCCAAGTTCAAGGCGTCCGACTGGCCCGGCGCCGTGGCCGCGTACAGCGAGATGATCAAGCGGGCGCCCGAGGACCCGCGCGGGTACAGCAACCGCGCCGCCGCCTTCGTCAAGCTGCTCGAGTTCCCCAGCGCCCTCGACGACTGCGACGCCGCCATCAAGCGCGACCCCAAGTTCATCCGCGCCTACATCCGCAAGGCCCAGGCGTACTTTGGCATGCGCGAGTACAGCAAGTGCCTCGACGCCTGCACCGAGGCCAGTCAGGTCGACGCCGAGCACCACGCCGGCGCCAACGCCCGCGAGATCGAGCAGCAGCAGCAGAAGGCCATCACGGCCATGTACGCGGCCCGTGAGAACGAGACCGAGGACCAGACGCGCGAGCGTCTCGCGCGTGATCCTGACGTAAGTGACCCTACATTCAACAAGCCAAGAAAGTACGATCCTGGTGACTAATTGCCGCGACAGATTATGAGCATCATGCAAGACCCCGTCATGCAGGCCATCCTGCAGCAGGCGCAGTCTGACCCGGCCGCTCTTTCCGAGCACATGAAGAACCCCAGCGTGCGGTCCAAGATCCAGAAGCTCATTGCTGCCGGTGTTATCCGCGTCGGTCGGTAGAGTAAGGACAAGCGCAGGGGTAGAAAATTGGAGGACGGCTGATCAAGTGAGTAGTTGACAGTATGCATGACCACAGCTGAGGTGATCACATCTCGTGAGATATGATGCCATGCAAGCGGAGTTTGCTGGCGCACATGCCGAGTTTCGGAAGCGACGTTCTACTACCACACCCCCAGAGCAGCCGTGCAGGAGGCGAGGCGTTGTATTGTATCGCTTGTTGAGTTGACAGATGGAGCAGGACCAAATTTGCCAGGTTTTTGTAATCCTAGCCGGAAATACAGCTAAATAATGACAAAAGACATGATACACCCACATGCTCGCTTTCGCGTAAATGGTTTGCAGATATGGATTAACAAAATAGATTATTGATTTGATTGTTCTCAGGTCTATGTACGGAATGTGTCAGGACCTCCTGTATTTCCGTATCTATCACGGGAGTCAATGCATTTCTGGTCGCATTGCCGACGACATCCTTGGTTTGCCTTCCCTTGTCTTTCTGTTGGGGTTATGTGACCTGCTTTGGAGCTGTGTCTTGTATCATGCGCCAGGTCCGACACCATGCTGAACTCAACTCCATATAATCAAGAACCTGTATCTTGTTGTCTCTAAGCGTATATATACACGGCATTGTTCGCGCCGCTCAAGATTATGGATTAACCTCCTCGAATACAAATCACCTGCTTAGCGCCTGGCTCGCTCAACAGCAGCAGGGCTCTTGACAGCCTTCTCAACGGCACTCGTCATGGCGAGTCCGACAGGGGTCATTGCGCCGCTAGATGACGGGGCAGGAGTGTTACTCCTGGTTGGGGGAGCGGAGCGGTTGAGAGCCATGTGAGCTCTCACCAAGTGGCCGGCAGCAAGAGCACTGCAAAGTGAGAGTTCGCCCGCCATAACAGACGCAGCGACAATTCGAGCAAGTCGGCGAGCGTTCTCTCCGGGGTTGGTAGGATGGGGCCCACGGACGCCAAGTAGATCAAGCATAGCGCCTTGCGGTTCAAGGATCGTGCCACCACCTAACGTGCCAACCTCAATGGAAGGCATTGAAACGGAGATCTGGAGAGATCCGCGCAGGCTGTTTATATGTCAGTGAAAGTCGCTTGTAAAGGATTAATAATGTCACTTACTTCTTCATGATGGTGATACAGTTCGCACTCTCCACCACCTGCGCGGGATCTTGACCGGTAGCAATAAAGATCGCCGTAACAATATTCGCTGCGTGAGCGTTGAACCCTCCAACACTGGCTGCCATGGCTGAGCCAATGAAGTTCTTGGAGATGTTGAGATCCACGAGCGTATCAACGTCAGTTTTAAGAACATTCTTGACAATGTCGCCCGGAATGATCGCTTCTGCCACAACACTCTTGCCACGTCCCTCAATCCAGTTAATAGCAGCTGGCTTTTTATCAATGCAGTAGTTTCCAGAAACGGAAACAATATCCATATCCGGGAAGCCACCCTCTGTTGACATGACTGAGAGGGCATGCTCGACACCCTTTGAAATCATGTTCATTCCCATGGCATCTCCAGTTGTTGTCTTGAATCGAATATAGAGATTGGTGCCAGCCAGTGCTGTCTTCATCGACGCCAACCTCGCAAAACGACTCGTGGAATCGAATGCCTTCTTCATCATGTTCTGTCCAGCCGGAGAATCAAGCCAAAGCTTAGCGGCACCAGCTCGCTCGAGCGTCTCGAAGCTCACACATGGTCCGCGGGTCATGCCATCGCCAGTCAGAACAGTAACAGCACCTCCACCAGCGTTGATGGCTTTACATCCACGACTCGCGCCTGCAACCAAGACACCTTCGGTTGTTGCCATCGGGATGAAATAACTCTGTCCGTCGATGACAAGAGGTCCAGCAACACCCACAGGAATTGGCATGTAGCCGATGACATTCTCACAGCAAGCCCCCAGAACCTGCTCCCAGGCATAGTTATCATAGGGAAGTTTAGATCGATCCAGCAGGCTCGTAAGGTCGGCAGTCGCTCTTGTCCGTGAGATGATAGTCCTCCGAACCTTAACGGCGCGGGTGCAATCCTTCAAGGCTCTCTCCAAACCATGTCCTGGAATCTTGCCTTTCAACGCGAGTGTGACCACTTCCTCGTCTGTCATTTCAGGCACCCGCTTCTCCGCTAGCATCTTCTCGAGTTCTGGGAAGCTTCTCTGAACCGCCGAGCTTGACAAAGACTTCGTAGACATGGCACGCGGAAGCACTTGGGAATCATTTTCGTCATCAGTCGGTGCCGGTGTTGGCGGTTGAGCCGGAAGCTGCTGTCTTGGTCGCTGGTACTCGCCCAGGGGCAAGGTTGCAGACTCGGTATCGTTGAATCGTTGTGCTTGGTCCAGATCCTTAGGGTCAAGTGGGTGATCCGGAACATTGGGATCCTTGATTCCCCAGCGCGCAGCATTGAACAGGTATCCATTTAGCGCGACACTCATGGCCAATGCAACAACGATCCATTTTGATAGAACGGGGTCTTCCAAACTCTTTAGAATACCGCCCACCATTCGTCCCCCCATACCATACCCAAGGTCTGAATCCTCGCTACCTGGCTTAATAGGAGGAAGTGCATAATGAACTGACGGAAACTCCAACTCGTATTTAATTGGAGTTAAAACAGTCACGACCGTTTCCTGGTTGTTTGTCTTTGCTGAAGCTAGGATCGCATCCAGTCCGTTTGAAGCGACCTTGAAGGGATCAACTGGGGGCGCGGTGACGAGTCCGCCAAGACCACCAGTCCAAGAAGAAATCGTGGCTAGGGAGTTTGGACCACGGAAGGGGATGGTGCAGAGGTTGATGACATTGACGAGGACAAATCCGGAAATCATCAAGACCTTGAACTTTGGTACACTAGTGCTCTTCATCTGTCGGCCGAACAAAGATGTACCAGGCTTGACCTGGCCGTCAGCCATCTGGGCGACATTCTCAGCGACACGGCCGCTAACCCCGTCATCTTCCAATGCTCGACGCATCTCAACATGGCGCTTGATGCGGTTGATCTCCAGCTTGATGCAGAGAATAGCTGTGTAGAATGTGAACAGCAGAATGCAGTCAAAAACCAGGATCCAGGCGGCCAGGAAGCAAAATTGTTGTAGGCCTCCCTGAACACCAGATGCGGCGCCAGCGACAAGCAGACCAATCTCGATAGCATAGTCCTTCAGAATATCGTAGCCCTTCTCCCTGATTGCAACCTGAATGGCTGATTGGATCGCACTAGAGGATGGATCAGATGCCTTCTTTCCTGCCTTATCCTGGAGGCGCTTGTGCTCGATCGCATGGGACAATACGGCTCGAGTCAAAACAATGTTCTTCTCGAACCCAACCGTAACGACCAGGAACGGCAGGCCCTCGGACAAAAGAACCAGGGAAATTGGCACGCCTAGCTTGGTGGTAACAATGAGACCGAACATGAAGGCGAAAACCGAGGAGAAGAGGACGCTAGTGGCCAACCATACATTCGAGCCCATGCGGCGCATAGACAAGAACAAGGAAACGAAAGTCAGGTGCATCGAGAGGTAGCCAAGGACCATGATGATGATGTCGAGGGTCTCGGCATTCTTCAGGAGGTCGATGAATTCCACCCATGCATTCTGGATCCAGCGCACTATGCTGCTTCTTGTGTGAACCCTAGCAGCCTTCATAATCCACATCTTCTTCTCTTTTCCATGCTCGGTTTCGATTGTCTCCTGGCCTGGGATATCATTGGGTATCTCCTGGGCAACGGCAAGGAACTCGGGCGCCTGGCTGTAAGGGAGCGAGAAAGCCAAGGCGCTGTCCTGGGAATAAGTCGTGAGAGAATTGGAGGTGGAGGGCAGCTCGGTAATGGAGAGATTCTGAGGGATCGGAACCGTATGCACAAGAGGCGCCGTCTTGGGGGCATCGTTTGAGAGGGAGTCGGGGAAAACGAGAGTCAAGAGCGCCAAGTGGTCGACGTCCTTGCCAACAACTGCATCAGCATCGTGAGACTGCCATTTCCACGCAGAGTCGGGACCGGCGCGCAAGCTTCTGCTGCCCTCGGTCAAGGACGACCAGTCAGCCTTGCGAACGCTGATAGTGGCATCAAAAAGGCTCTCCTCGAGAAGACCAAGGTAGGTCGAGCTGGCGAGCAGTGCAACCACAACCACGGTGTGGATTGGATGCGAGGAGGTGATCTTGGACAGGAGCTGGAGCAGGGGCGTGATCTTGGTGTTGAGCCATGAGGGGGGACCAGCCTGAACAGCGGGCTGTTCGCCCCGAAATCGGGAGGGAATAACGGAGGAGATCATGTTGAAGAGATCGCGGGCCAATTCGGGGGCTGGACTACACTGAATGCATTGGCAGCCGGGGCAGTCGTGGGTCAGGGGTAGTCTCTTGAGCGGGTCTGAGTATTTTTGTGAGCACACACGCGAAGATGTCGTTGGTGAAGAAGCAGGAAGCGCAAAACGAACACGGCGAGCCGCCGACATGTTGGAGAACAGTGTGAAAACTTGAAGCTCTTCACCGTCGCATAAGAGATATACCAGAGCAGTGCAGTATGGTATGAAAAGGTGCAACAGCGAGAAAGATGCAGATGGCTGGGGACAGGGCAAAGCCTACCAATTCAATCTGATTTTCGCGTTCACGATATTACGTCCTCCGCCAGACTCGAGAAATAGCACACAGGAATCCTCAAGGGGTCGAGGGACGGGTCAATTTGCAGTTGTCGTGGAACAGGAGGAGCGGTGACGGCGTGCGGCAGACTCGATGTGACTGGTCGGCGGTGCGAATTACAACACAACAGGTACCACGCAGCGGGTGTCTGGTGTCTAAAGATGGAAGAGAGGCAAGCCTAAGGAGCAGAAAGACTGGAGGGATTCGTTGTGCAGAGTTGTCCTCTGTTGAGTCTGAGCCTCGAAGCTTAAAAAGACGAGGCGGAGGAGGCAGCTGCTGCCGTTCGGCTCGTAGGTAGGAGGGAATCGGAGGACGGGACGGGATGATGGCGGTGGTGGTGGTGGTGGTGGTGTGGCGGTAGGTAGAGAGGTAGAGGTAAGAAAGCAGTAGTGCGGTGGTGGTGGTGATGATATGAGGGCCGATTAAAAAAAGAATTTCCCGCGTCGCTGTTGCTCCTTCTTGCGGCAGGCTGCTGTACTTCCCAGCAGCCTGCAGGTGGTGTGCTACCTAGGTACCTAGACCTAGTGCTGCTGCTGCTGCTGCTGCTGCTGCACGGTTACACGAAAAGGAAGGGGCTTTTGGGCCCGTCCCTCCTCGCTCCTACTGTAAGAGAAGATCCAGGGCAGTAATCAGTAGCATTCAATGGCATCCTCCTTGGTATCTCCACTACCAACGTTCTCAGATTCGCTCCCTAGGTACTGTACCACACGCCCAAACGTGCACTAACACGCCTAGTTCCATCAGGCCAATTTGCAAGGCCCCCGGCAACGCAATTTAGCGGTCTGATAGGCCCAACTTTGCCTCTGAACCTGGTTCCGCGTGGCTGATCGCCCGCTCTTGATGTCAGTCTGTTTGTCTCAGCGTGGTTAGTGTTTCTTTCTTTCCCAGGTTCCTTTCTCTCTCCGGTGAAGAATCGACGAGGGCGGTCAAGGTCAAGGTCAAGCAATCTGGAAGGTCAAGAAGGAGCGATCCGGCACCGATGCTCCCCAACGATTTCCTCCTGATATTGTTCACCTTCTACTGTCCCTGGGTAGGTGTTTCTTTGTCCTCTAAGCATCGAGATGTTGACAGCGATGGCATCTGCTGATCCAATCTCACACACATTTAGGTACAGTAAAAATGAGCTAATTGCCTACATATTGTTGGACTTACCTAAAAGGCCTCTTTAGTTCCCTCACTAACTTCCCTGCTTTGTTAACGTTGGAGGGCAATTAGCCAAGCCATTCCGGTAGCACCATTGCTGTGGCCCTCAATCGCGCTTTCCTGCCTGTTGGCCCGTTGGTGTGTAACGAACAAATTGAATAGACAGCTACAGCTACGTACTTCATAAGGAAAGAACAATATCAAGACACTTCAGTTTTGGATGCACCCACGCACAGCCTAGAGTAACGAGGTGGCATGTGGGCAGTCGCGATCCCTTATCGTCTTTATCGTGCTTTCCGTGCCTAATCAAACTAAATTTCTGCAGCTGCCAGCTTCAGCTAGGCAGGGTCTAGGTGGTCCCCTCCTGCCTTTTGATTGAGATTCCCAGGCCTGACTACCCTGTAATGGCTAAGCTCGCGAAGTGGCTGCCGATCTGCTTCTTTGCGGACTCGGAGTCGAAGGTCTGATGCAATTACGAACATCTCTCATATTCAGGAGAAGCGATGTAATCTGGACGTGATTCATATAAATTTGAGAGTCGAAGATTGCATGAACCATGGCATCCCACGAAGGGATCTACTATGCAGTAGAGAGTACATTATTTGGTAGTTGACTTTCTTGCCAAAGTCCGTCGGAGATTAAGATTGGAAGGCATGATGGAGCGTGCCTGAGTACCTAGTAGTCAGTCGGGTACCTGCCCCGCCAAACATTTCGCTGATAATGCGTCGAGGACCCCGCATTCAGTGTGTCGATGGATGTAGATAAGGTAAGCTGTGCACTGTTATCTCAGATCTGAAGACGGCCAATTGTCAGACCTCGAACGATATGAGGCTGGTCCGAGGTAGCACATGGTGATACTACCATGGACATGATCACATCTTGTCTTTGCAGAGCCGGTCATAATTAGATCAACGCCATAGACTCACGCGAGAGACTCTCCAAGTCAAAAGCCTGGTGAAGCCTTGTTGACCATGGCAGACGAGCCCTTCAAGCCAGCTCTGATAGTTGTCGACCTTCAAGAAGACTTCTGTCCACCTGTAAGTCCCTACACTTGTGAATCCAGTATTTCATGCAAGAATCGACTGACAAGTCCCTCAGAACGGTGCACTCGCGGTTAATGAAGGTCGCGATGTTGCGCCACTTATCAACTCTCTCCTCTCCCTCCCATTCGTAGCCAAGATCGCCACGCAAGACTGGCATCCAGCCGACCACATCTCCTTCGCTTCCAACCATGCCGACAAGCAGCCCTTCGTCGACTTCGCCACCGTCGTCAACCCTGATAATGCCTCCGAGAGCTACTCCACACGCCTGTGGCCCGTTCACTGTGTGCAGAACACCACTGGCGCCGAGCTGATTCCGGAGCTGGAGGCTGACAAGGTCGAGACCGTAATCAAGAAGGGCACAGACCCGCGGGTAGAAATGTACAGCGCTTTCTACGATCCGTTTGAGGCGCCGAGGGTCAGTGACTCTGGGCTGGCGGGCGTCTTGAAGGAGAAGGGCGTCACACATGTGTATGTGGTCGGCCTGGCTTTCGACTACTGCGTAAAATGTACCGCCATGGACGCGGCAAAAGAGGGCTTCACCACATATGTCGTTGAGGAGGGCACTAGAGCAGTAGATGCACCAAAGTGGGAGGAGTGCAAAGCAGAGCTGCAACAGAAAGGGGTTGTGGTTGTCAGCGCTGATGGCCCAGAGGTTGCGAAGCTTAAGGGATGACCCATCAACATCGCAAATGGCACGGTGAGGAGGAGCAGGTGGATATATGTACAGCCACATGTCTAAATGTTTGGACAAAGTGGAGTGAGCTGGAGACCGCAACAATATGGGGTACAATGCTCCTGTGCTACAGGTAAATATGCTTGCATAGGTACGACTCAAGGAGAGTAATTAGGGCAAGTGGTAGACATACACTTCGCCATTATTTGTTTGCACGATGACGCAAGAAAACATCTTATAGTCTGTATGGTCAATTTGTCGAAATAAATCAGGCCGATTCTTCTACAATTGAATAAAGTGAACGAGACAATCTATCTATCTAGGCTTCCTCCTTTGTGTCTACAAAGGTGTGGGGACTGGTTTCAAAGCCCCCGATGTCGCCTTCCTGAACAATTTTTCGGATCTCAAGTTCCTCTTCATCACTAAGCTCTACCTTGACCGAAGCCAGGTTTTCTTCCAGATACTTGATTCTCTTGGTTCCGGGGATCGGTATAATGTCATCGCCCTGCTTGAGAACCCAGGCAATTGCCAGCTGCGAGGGTGTGCACCCCTTCTTACTCGCAATGTTCTTCAGCTGATCGACCACCTTGAGGTTCTTCTTCATATTCTCCTCTTGGAAGCGGGGAACCCACTTGGTACGGATATCGCTCGAGCCAGCTACGGCTTCAGTACTTGTCACGGCACCGGTTAGGAGGCCTCGGCCGATAGGCCCAAAGCATACAACAGCCACCCCTAGTTCGCGGCAGGTTTGAAGGAGGTTGGTGCTGGCTTCATTTTCGATATCAAGTACGAAAGCAGAGTACTCGACTTGCACGCAAGCTACGGGTGCAACCTTGCAAGCACGGCGAAGGGTGCTCGAAGTGGCCGAGCATAGCCCAATGTGTTTGACCTTGCCCTCTCTGGAGATTATTAGACATTGCTTCTGGAATCTGAGTGTAGATGCTGACCCTTGGAGCTCGACCATTGCTCGCATGGTTTCCTCAATAGGGGTGTTCTTGTTGATATGATGCACATAATCTAGAATAATCACATCATATCAACCCCTGAAGGCAGTGAAGAAAGGGGCGGTTTGCGGACTTACACAAGTCAATACAGTCGACACCGAGTCTCTTAAGGCTCTCCTCGCACGCCTTTTTGCAATATTCGGCAGAGCTGTCAATGCCTTTCATATTTACCTTTTCGTCCATAATGAGTCCGAATTTAGAAGCAAGGAAAATCTCATCGCGCTTCCCAGTGCGTTTGAACCATTTGGCCAGGATCTCTAGATTGTTGAAGTAAATACTGCGAGGTGTGAGTATTTACTTTCTTCAGCACTAGATCCTCTGAAGCCGTACTCAGCGGTATCCCAGAATGTTTCTCCCAGCTCGACTGCCCGATCTAAGACCTTGAACTGTTCCTCTTCGCTAGGAGCATCACCGTAGGCTCCTGACAGGACCATTAATCCAAAGCCCATCGCCGAAACAAGTGGGCCATTCTTTCCGAGTTTACGCCGTGGAAAGGTTTTAGATGCCATTTTGAATTAGGACGAATTTTATGGACTAGGCGGGCTTTACAAGAGCTCTGAGGAGCGTGTTGAAAAAAGCACTTTTTGCATAGAGCGCTAGGTAGGAGATTTATATATGTTCGCTTTAGCCTGGACAGACGCGTTGTAACAATTCAGCGATATAACGGCTATCTCGGTGAGTATCCCTCCCCGTAAGTCCGCTCAACGGCTTCTATGTCCGATACAAAGCCCACAAAATATAACCTGACGAGAACTTCTCAGCGGTTCACATTGGTGTTTTCTGCGGTCTCAGCTATGTAATGATGCCCGGGTGCCTGTCGGCCAACCAATCATTGCATTGGAACCCCGAACCAGCCAATGACTAGGTCAATTACAGTGGGGCCACGCCTGTACTTAGATCCGCAACTTCCACCTAGGTTTGAGTTTCTCCCCGAATCAATCGAAAAGCCAGGCATATGATCCCATGAGAAGCATTGCAGCTCTGGATTTCAAGTTTCGAATCAATAAACATATGCTGTAACACCTGGATTGTTCTTCCCGGATTGGATGACCATGGGAGGCGATTACCCACCCAGTATGGCTCATGGGCGTCGACTTCGTCACCGCACAAGCCGGAGACAAACCAAAACCGGCTGCCGCACCTGCAAGTGAGTCCCTGTAATTCCTTTGATCTCGATCAGGAATAGAAAATGACTCACATAAGTTGCCAGAATTCGAAAGGTCAAGTGTGATGAGGGGCGTCCGGCGTGTCGTCGATGTGTCTCGACTGGCCGTTCATGTGATGGCTATGGAATCTGGGGCGGTGGAGGGAGCTCTTGCCAAATTCGACAGAAGTATTCAGTACCAAGGACCAATGGTAATGCTCCGTCACTCCCCGTATGCATCCCAGCATACACTGCCAGTACGGAAGAGTGGGAATACTTTGACTGGTTCAGGTGCCGAAGTTCTAAGAAATTGCCGGGCACCCTTGTCTCGACTGTCCGGGACACATTACTCTGCCAGGCCAGCCTACAGGAGCCTGCCGTAATGCATGCTGTTTTGAGTCTAAGCTCTATTCATAAGAGAGATACCTATGTGGGTGTCTATGGAACTCAGCAAGACAGCGTTCTTGACCAGCAGGAGCGTTTCACGTTACAACACTACACCAACGCCATCCGTCTCCTACAACCACATCTCTCTTCTACTGACAAATCGTCCACGCGTACGATTCTAATCACCTGTTTCGTTTTCATCTGCTTAGAGCTCCTGTGCGGCCGCTTTGCAACAGCTCAAAGCCACCTACAAAACGGACTGAGGATCATCAGAGAGTTAAAAACATCGCCCAACACAGATGAAAGTTTTCTATTCCTTGAGACAGTTCCGGACTCAGTTGACGACTCCATAGTCAAAGCATTTTGTCGGCTCGAGTTTCAGTTAGAGATGTTCAGACATACTTACCAGCATCCCTGCTTAATCTTACAGACTCCTGGGCCTGAATTATCGACATGTCTGCTTCAATCTGTCAAGTCAGCATGGGATCGACTCGAGCGGCTCTTCAATAAGATATTTCATCTGACTGAGCAGGGGCGACACCAGCATCAGAGCCTCGACTGCTCCTTCAACGGATACCCGCCTTGGTTGCACGCCTATCAAAAGCATGTACAGGCCGAACTTTCTACCTGCCTCATACTCCTAGAAGCTTCTCGGAAAGTTTTAGAGGCGCAAGATCCCAAAGGACTGGCTTGTCGCATCCTGTTCGTCTACCACACCATGGCAGTCATTATGGCAGACACAAGCCTGCGGCTGGACGATGAATCTGTTTATGACTCTCATACGGAGCAATTTGTCTCGATACTGAACCAGTCGGTGGCGATGCATCAAATCGGATCTTCCGGATCTCCAAAAAGGCCTCTTCCAGGCTCTCGCATCCACATGTCAAGGTCCATCGTTGATGTTGGATGGATCGCCCCACTCTACTATACTGCTCTCAAATGCCGTGTCCATAGGGTCAGGCTCCAAGCTATCAGATTGATCGAGAAGCCTTCATACCGAGAAGGCATATGGGACTCTCACGTGGCTGCATGTGTCTCACGAAAAGTGATGGATATCGAAGAGGGAGACCTTTATAAAGACCTTGGCGTGGCTGATGACTTTCTCATCTCGAGCTCCCCGGGATCAGAGGACTTGTCGTTGCCGAAACCACAACTGTCCAACAGGGTACATGAGATCAAGGTTATCCTGCCCGATGGCCCAACAGATACTATATCGTTACACTACAGGAAGAGGCAAGAAAATTGGAAGGAAGTGGCGGTATCTGTTCAGTAACGATGCTCAAATTTCCATCCACCTTAATTACATGACGGCCACTCCCGACTTCCCTACGAATCGAAAAAAATGTATCGGCCGAGCCTAATGGAAAAGTTCTGGAATAGCTAGCGGGGCGGCAGCTGTGAAGTGTCGTTGGGCCGCGTAAAGTCTCCCCAGCAATTCGGCGCGTTCCAGCAAACGAGCATCTGTGATCTCATCGGCATTCCGGCACACTCAGAAAAGGTGGCTTAACAAAGCGGCATGCAAGCATACCACTGCCGCGATCTGACTCGCCTGCTGGTGCTAATGTTAGTCAAATCTCAAAAGACTTTGCAGACCGCTACCCCCAAGCACACCCCAAAAGGCCAAGCATCAGTCAGTGTCAGTCAATGTGAGTGGAGATCCGGGCCCTAATGTCAAGGCTCGCGCAGTCTACAGCTGTCATAAAGCCGGATTTGCCTCTCCGAAGGCTGCTGTACTTGCTGCACATTTGCCCTGCAAAACTGGCGCCGGCACACTAGCGAGTCGGCCTTCACAATGGGGAACCCCCTGCTTGTTCGGCCGCTCGCCTGAGCTAGACTGACTACGCTAAGGACGTAGCATCGTAAATACTTTTTTACTCCGATCACGAAGGCTTTCCTTTTCATGCTGTCATCGATATATTCCTTGCCATGTTCTGTCTGAAGTTGGCTAAGAGCGTGGGAAAGAGTCGCGACTGCTAACATTCCCTTTCGTCTTTCCTTCTCTATACCTTAATCCAGCTCACAGTCTTTCACGGCCTACGACAACTCTGGTGACGTCGATATTCAGCGGCGGAGCTCACCGACAGGCCTGTGCCGCGGCTTGTATAGGACCCCCCCTCCAACACCCTCACGCACGCACAGTTATACAATATGGCTGCGCGCGCGACTGACCTCACTCTCACCGAGCCTGCTGGTGATGAGAAGGCCACCGATGTTGCGCAGCGACCAAGCACCAGCAGCTCATCTTCCGCAACCGTCCCCGTCCCCGCACCGGACACGACCGAACCGGAATCCACCGTCTCGGGAGCAGCCCCTGAAGCCTCGGCCGAGGCAACACAGAAACCCTTAGCAGCACCAGAAGAAGGCCGGACGAGGCTCGAAACAACTCTCATTGTGCTGTCGCTGGCGGCCGCCCTGTTCCTTGCCGCCCTGGACGTTACGATCGTTACTGTCGCAATTCCCACCATCGCGGAGCAATTCCATTCCACGGCGGGATACACATGGATCGGTAGCGCCTACCTGCTCGCCAATTCCGCTGCGGCGCCGTCATGGGGGAAAATCTCGGACATATGGGGGCGGAAACCGGTCCTACTGGTGGCCGCGGGGGTGTTTTGGATTGGATCGTTGCTGAGCGCAGTCAGCGTGAACATGTCGATGTTAATTGCGAGCCGTGCCATCCAGGGTATAGGAGGTGGAGGCATTGTTGTCCTCGTGAACATTTGTATAAGTGATTTGTTCTCCATGCGCAAGAGAGGTAAGTCCTACCATTGGTAGTGTTCCTGGGTAAGATTCTAGGTTCTGAGCTAATACGGTTATCTAGGTATCTATTTCGGAATCATGGGCATGGTTTGGGCCGTTGCAGGAGGCGTGGGGCCTGTAGTAGGCGGCGTGCTGACCGAAAAGGTCACCTGGCGCTGGTGCTTCTACATCAATTTGCCTATTTCCGGCGTCGCGATATTCGTGTTGTTCTTCGTCTTGAAGTTGCACAATCCGAAGACAGGCGTGCGGGAAGGTCTCGCCGCCCTTGACTGGATGGGATCGCTGGCAATCGTTGGCGGAACTATCATGTTTTTGCTTGGACTCGAGTTCGGCGGTGTCACCTTTCCGTGGTCCTCGGCAGAGGTTATCTGCTTGATTGTCTTCGGCCTGGTCCTTGTTGGTGTCTTCATCGTCGTCGAATGGAAGGTCGCCAAGTTTCCCCTCATTCCAATGCGCCTCTTCACAGTACGCTCCAACATTGCGTCGATAGCTGTGAGCGCCTGCCACGGATTTGTCTTCATATCGGCATCATACTACCTTCCGCTCTACTTCCAGGGTGTCCTCGGAGCCTCGCCTTTGTTGTCCGGAGTATACGTGCTACCCTTCTCACTGTCCCTTTCCGTCGCATCCACTGTGACAGGTATCTTCATCAAGAAGACTGGAAAATACCTGCCATGTATCATCTTCGGCTGCGTCGTCACAACTCTTGGCTTTGGCCTGTTCATCGATCTCGAAGCGAAAGCGAATTGGGCCAAAATCATTCTCTTCCAGCTCGTCGCTGGCCTCGGTGTCGGGCCCAACTTTCAGAGCCCTCTCATCAGCTTGCAGACGACAGTCCAGCCGCGCGATATTGCCTCGGCCACAGCGACATTCGGCTTCATTCGGCAGTTGGCCATGTCAATCTCCGTGGTAATAGGGGGTGTCATCTTCCAGAACGGCATGCAAAAGCAGTATCCTACGCTTCTCAAGGACCTCGGCCCGGATATCGCCAATTTACTGACTGGCAGCAGCGCAGGTGCCAGCGTTGGAGTCGTTTCCCAGCTTCCTGGAGAGGAGGGGGACCGCGCACGAGCTGCATACTTCACGAGTTTACGGACGATGTACATCGTATATACGGCGTTTGCTGGTCTGGGGCTAGTGCTATCATTCTTTGTTGGGCAAAGGCAGCTGAGCAAGGAGCATCATGAGCACAAGACCGGCCTCAAGGGCATGATGGAGGCGAGAGACGAGAAGAAGGAGGTGATCCCGGAGAGAGAGGCTTCGCCAGGTGGGGTACGGGATGAGGAGAAGGCTCTCCAGGGTGGCAATTCAAACTCCGAGAAATGATGCATATATACCCATATCTAGTATCCAGTAAAGAAAGAACTCATACGATAATAAAATAGTTACAAGATGCCCTTGGCCCGATCACTGGTGTGTATGCTGTTCACGCCCGACAACTCTCTACCATGATACCAACAAAATACATCTAGAAGGTTAGCATCCTGTTATCATCGCATGCTATATAGGTTTTTCTTGATAGACATCTGCGTTATTCTCCAGGAGATATGTTGTCCTACAAATTACGAGTTGCGATACGCTTGTCGTAGTGTACATGCTATACATTGAATCAATGAGCTTGACTGAGATCTGTGAGTGTTAAGACGTTGCCACGGCAAGGTCAACCAGGTGTCCAAGCTCAGAACCCAGCAATCCGGATACAATAGCCCCAACACAGGGTAGCATAAAGCGCGACTTTAGGCAAAATAGCCCTGCGTTGTGCACATAATTGTGGCCACGTGTGGATGCTGCAAGTCAAGACGGGCCATCCGGGGAGCGTCGTCATTAGACATCCCGCATACCCGGTTACAAAGCTATTGGGGAGACAGGGAATCATGTAGTCGCGATTTGCTGGATATCGATGCCTCCGCTCGCCCGTTAAGCTAGAAGAGTGTTGCATCCCTGGATGGTTGAGAGAATGCGTGTAGGTCAAGTACGAAGTGGTGTTGTCCGAATCTAATTTGGCTAGTCTGCCGGCTTGCTTACCGTGAATTTACACTACATTTAAGGATAGCTCAAGTTTATGTGATCCAGGCTCTGACAGCGAATTCAAGCTTTGATTTAAAATCTAGGATTTCGAGTGGTCCTATCACGGAGCGCCAGTTGTTATTGGCGGACAATTAACCAACTACTTTCAATTGCGGACTCGACAAGCTCTCCGTAAATATCGTTTTGTCGCGACTCTTCCACAACTTGGTATCCTTGAATGAAGGATTGACTTGTGATAAAAATAAGGCATAGCATTTGGCTATTGTTGATAACGATACTTTTACTTTTAGTTTTGAATCTTGAACAGGCGTTAAGGTGCAAAACATGATGCCCAAGGAGTTGGTGCTGAACTAGTCCATGTAACCTTCCGGCGTACTCGGAGCTTGAAGGTCCGCAATACTTCGCATAACCTGATGTTCAGAAATAAGAGAAGACTGCGCAAAAAATTAATGGATATAAGATCTCTGGCTAGACGTTAGCCCACTGACAGATTGCTTTCCACCTCAGATTGCTCAGTGCGAAGCCGTGATCATGGGTCTTAAACATATACTTGTTTCGTGCCTCGCGGCGCTATCTCTGGTGCCAGCTCATGGAGCTGAGATTGTGAAGCGTGCTTCACTGCAACAAGTTACCAGTTTCGGAGCCAACACCTCTGGAACAAAGATGTATATCTATGTGCCGAATAACCTAGCCACGACGCCTGCCATTATTGTCGCTATCCATTACTGCTCCGGTACGGCTTCGGCATATTACAGTGGCACCCCATATGCGCAACTCGCTGAACAATACGGCTTCATTGTCATCTATCCTGAGTCACCTTATAGTGGAACATGCTGGGATGTGTCTAGTACTGCAGCGCTTACTCACAATGGCGGTGCGGACAGCAACTCGATCGCTAATATGGTGACATGGACTATTGGCCAGTATAATGCAGACTCTAGTAAGGTGTTTGTGACTGGCTCGAGTTCAGGGGCTATGATGACAGTGCGACATCCCTATAAATGCATGATTCCAGAGATGGTACCTAACTTCTCGACAGAATGTGCTCGCGGCTACATACCCTGAACTGTTTGCAGCTGCATCGGCATACTCCGGAGTGCCAGCGGGTTGCTTTTATACAGGGACCGTGAATGGCTGGAACTCGACTTGTTCTCAGGGCCAGTCAATTCACACGCAAACCGAGTGGGCCAATACCGTTTTCAACATGTACCCTGGCTATACTGGAAAGCGACCGAAGATGTTGATTTGGCACGGATCCGCTGACACGACTCTGTATCCTCAGGTATGCTAATATCGACTTCATGAGCCGTGTTTTCACTACTGAACCATCAAACCAGAGTTTCAATGAAACCATCAAACAATGGACTGGCGTCTTCGGATACAGTTTGACACCAGAGCAGACACTGCAAGGCGTTCCATCAAGTCAGTACACCAAGTACATCTATGGACCGAGTGTTGTCGGCGTCTACGGGACCGGGGTTGGACATACTGTCCCTGTTATGGGGAATGAGGATCTAGCATGGTTTGGCATTACCGGCGGTAGCTCTTCTAGCAGTACGACGACGAAGCCAACATCGACGGTCGCCGGATCCAGCACTAGTACGACCCTTGTGACGAGCACAACGAGCGCATCAAGCGGAGGCGGGTCAGGAACGTCACCTCACTGGGGCCAATGTGGTGGAATTGGTTGGACAGGACCGACAGTGGTAAGTGGCTTCTATTCATATAGGGATTTTGCTAACGTGGGATCAATAGTGCGAGAGTCCATACACTTGTAAATATTCCAACGCTTATTATTCACAATGCTTGTGATCCTAGCTCGTACATACATGGACATGTACTCGCCAAGATGAATATGAGGCTTCAAGCCGAATGTTGTTTGAAAGACATTGAGTTAGATAACGCAAATTAAGACCTTGTAAATTACAAGGCATCATCAGCCTGAGCATCTGAATTGTTAAGCCTCGTGGAATTCGGTGGTTTTCTTGAGTGAGGTACGAGGTGGAGGTGATTCAAGCCATTCTGTCCGCCCCTGTTCCTCCTAGGCTCTTCCCCCGCAACTTTCATTACTGTGGCTTCAGCGTGAGTTAAAGTTGCGGGATGGCCCCTTAGAACCGAATTTCTTGACGTAATGGTTGGCAACAGGCGTTGACCGATGAGGGGTACTTGACTCGTGGGCGACATTTGCCCAATCCTCTGGGTATCCCTTAGCGGAGCTAACTGTAGCCTTCCGTCATCAGTGGCTCGAGCTTCCTCCCCCGCCATTCGTTTCAATTCTTCAGGTCTCATGACCTGGAAAATCTTTACACATACCAACATCACTGCCGCCTTTACTGCTCTCACTTTGACGAGACTTTGACTGCATGGCCCTCCGATAATGCGTATTGATTGATTGATTGCGGCGTCAGGTACACAATGGCATCGCCGTCGCAGTTTGAAGACCAGCGTCATGCTGCTGTCGTGGCAGAGCATCTCCCGTCAGGGTATACCGCCGAATTCGATGGTAACATAGTGGACGGGGAGCCTCTCGTCAAACAGGCCTCTCGCTCTGCTCCAGAGCTCATTGAGTCGCCGGAACAGGAATCATCTCTAAGGCTCCAAGGCGGTGATATGCATCGGGACTTGTTCAAACTCAATGCGAAACCGGTCGGCGTTCACAGGTCAAAAACATTCTCACATCCGCCGAGGAATACAGACACCCCTGACAATGAGATGACGGCTGCCGAACAGATGGAGCCACAGGGCTTTCGCCGCCAATTCGTCATGCAGAGGCGTCAAGGCTTTACTGGGGGTGCAAATCTACCGGTCACTCGCAACTTTGTCGAATTTTTGGATCTCTACGGCGCATTTGCAGGTGAAGATCTGGCAGACTCAGATGAAGAGGCGATTGAAGACGAAGAGGACGAAGAAGAAGAGACCGGCCCTCCAACAGAAACCAGGCCGCTTCTTGGCCGGCGAAAACTATCACGGATCCAAAAGAAGGGTGATGCAAGCAACACGAAGACATTCTTCACACTCTTGAAGGCTTTTATCGGTACGGGTATCATGTTCCTACCCAAAGCCTTCAACAACGGTGGGATTTTATTCTCCTCTTTAACTTTGCTCTTTGTTGCTGCCATCTCTATGGTGGCATTTCACCTGCTACTTCAATGCAGAACGCGCTACGGTGGAGGATACGGCGACATTGGCAGCGCCATCGCCGGCCCGAAAATGCGAGCGGTCATCTTGGGCTCGGTGACATTGTCTCAGCTCGGGTTTGTATGTACGGGGCTGGTCTTCGTTGCGGACAACTGGTGGTCATTCCTGCAGGCCGTCACCTCTGGCGCGAGCCCTCTAACAACCAAGATGCTCATTGCCATCCAGGCAATCTTGCTGATCCCGCTGTCTTTTATCAGAAACATCTCCAAGCTGGGATTCGCTGCTCTGCTTGCAGATGTATTCATTCTAATTGGTCTCGTCTACATCTGGTACTACGACATTTCATCCCTAGCAACGAAGGGTATACATAAATCAGTAGAGCTGTTCAACCCACATTCATATACGCTCACCATTGGTGCTTCCATATTCACTTTCGAAGGCATTGGGCTGATTATACCAATCCACTCATCAATGAAAAAACCAGAGAAGTTTGAGTGGCTTCTTGGTGTGGTAATGCTGATCATCACCTGCATCTATACATCGGTTGGCGCTCTCAGCTATGCAACCTTCGGATCTGAGACGCAGATCGAGGTAATCAACAACTATCCCCAGGATAGCAAGCTCGTCAACGCTGTTCAATTCATGTACGCTCTGGCGGTACTGATCGGGAATCCAGTGCAGCTATTCCCAGCGATGCGCATTCTAGAAAGCAAGATATTTGGTCATCGGTCGGGGAAAAGGGATCTCATGACCAAGTGGAAGAAGAACTGCTTTAGATCCGCGCTTGTAGGGGTATGCATTGGTATATCAATTGCAGGCTCGGCGAATCTAGATAGATTTGTGGCGTTGATTGGATCGTTCGCATGCGTGCCTCTGGTATACATTTATCCGCCTTTCCTTCACTTGAAGGGCGTAGCTCAGACGAGGCTGGCGAAGACAGGTGACATTGCACTGATGGTTCTCGGAGCGTTTGGCATGGTCTACACAACAGCAATCACAATTTTGAATAGCTTTATGTCTATACCAGCATAAAATACTACCCGAATCTTACTCTCACCTATTTCCTTCTTTGTAAGTAGGTTGGTACTACTGCTGCTTTAATCTATATAGCGGGTGTATGGTAGGTATATAGTAGGTATATTGACTATAACCCTGTTTGAAAGCCTTATTCTACCATCTTAGTTAAAGTTGTTATAAAGCTAAAAGTAGAATTAAGCCTTATAAGCTTATAAAGATTTATTTCTAGATACGTTGATACCTTAAAATATCTACCTTTTGTGAGGTCTTATCTTAATCGTAAAACAAGCTGCTCTATATCAACACTAGTCTCAACTACTACTTCATCATGAATGATATGTAAAATTATCCTTCCGGTAAGGAATTATTTGTATTGGGAGAAGTAGCCCATACTCCGCCTCAATCGGTGGAGATGAGACTGTCTTAGTTGCAGGCTTTCCGCTCGTCTCGAGCTCATCCCAAAATGGTCGCAGGGTATTTCCAAGTGGTGTGCTGATAAGTACCTCGATAACATTTTCTCCCCGTTTCAGAAGCGGTCCTATATCCCGCCTCGCCCAAGATATATCAAGAGGAGGTAACGCTACTCCGTTGACTGTAACCCTACCGGTATGTGCAATTGCACCGAGATCAATCACTGCACCAGAAAGACTACGGCAGCCAGGCTTTCTAGGCGGCCAGTCAAATGTTGTCGAATAATAGCCAAGACCCGACACGTTAGCCAAGGATTCGGAGATCTTGTTCCACGGAACGAGAGTAGGGAGCTGGAAGGTCGTGTTGGTGCGCGTGGGCCCGGATTCGACATTATACAGATCAGAAGGTGGAGCCCATGACTCAACTACCAAAGTCCAGTTGTCTAACGTGAAAGGCTTAGTCAGCATGGGAGAAAGCGTCACTGATTTCCCATTTGATAAACTAATGACACGGGTTTGCTGGTCAAAAGATCGAAAGACGGTGAGCGAGTTCGCGCTTGCTGTGGCCTGGAGAACTCCTTCCGCAGTATTCTGAGCATGCAAGATTGGTGGAGAATGTTGATGGAAGCCAATAATAACAGACTGGTTGCCAGCCAACTGGAGCGGAATTAAAGTGTGGGTCGCTGATTGCTGATAGATGGGTATGGCGGTAACATCTCCAGTCCAGGCATCATACAGGAATGGCGTTCCCGTTATTTCGAAAGAAATATTTCCGACCGTGAAACCTTGCTCGAAGGAAACTCCAGGAGCATCATTGTAGAGGTAAACGTATTCCGTTAAGCTACGTGTGTCCTGCCTCCAGTTCGTAAACCAAGTCCCATTGGTATTAACTGAGGTCCGTGGGAGGATGCCAAGAGACTGAAGTGTAGTCGCTAGACCAACATATGGGACAACATGGACGTTTCGCAATGATGTCAGGGTCTTCAGCATATCAGAGGCTGAGCTACTGGCTGCCAGATTGTATCCAGCGAACTTTGATGGGAGTCCGCCAGAGAAGATCACTGGCAGTCCCGCATGTGCAAAATCACTAAGCTTAACAACTCCAGCCGCCGTAAGGGTATCATTGGCCCTGATCACAAGAGCTCTGAACGCTTGGTGATTTGGTGCAAATTTCTTGTCTGCAACGTATGCCCCAGGCAGAGCAAAATTGTCCGGACTGAGGTACTCGTACGTATAGCCTTAGTAAAGAGTAAGAATTAGCTGCTACTGCTCATTCAGACAATGGTGAGAAGTGATAAATTATACCTGCTTTCTGGAGATCTGTAGGAGCATACTGTGTTGTTACCGATGTATAGGAGGTGGATTTGGACCAGAAAGCAATATCCACCTTTGCGGCAGCAGTCTGTCCAATATACTGGTTGCGCGAAACCCAATTCAGGAAATCTGCGTAGAAAGCAAACGCTGGCTGGCGAGGTCCATGCATCTCTGAGAACAAATATGCAAATGAGGTGAAACCGGGCCACGTTGTGTTGCCATAGTTACCGGAGTATGGGAAGCCGTGGAGGACAAATTGGTTGATAGATGCTGCAAACGAGCGCTTTAAACCCCACAGCATCTGAGATATTGTCTGTTGATAGACTGCACCCATGGCTCCACCAGCCTCGCTGGAAATGACGCGCTTTCCGGCAAGGTGTGCTGGTCCCGAAAACTGCCTGTAACCATCTATATTGTTGCCGAAACCTAAAGTCTCGCATTCGGGGCCATTGATATGCGGGATGTTGGCTAGCATATCTAAAGGTAGGTTATAAGCAACCTGCGCTGAGAATTGAATACCGAGACTTTCACTCCACTGAGTCAGAGCTTTGAGGTACTCAGCATTTAATTCTGTAAGCTGTTTCCAATTACTCAATTTTCGGTAACTCACATCAAGAGGTAAGGAGGTACGAACCGTTTGTTGATAGTCCATGATATGGCTTGCACCGGCATCAAGTTCATCTGTAATATACGATGGATCCAATTTTGAGTCAGTCGAACTTAGCAAAAGCGGGATATATTTGTTGATGCTGTAGCCGCGGTTTGATTCGAAGACTTCTTGGAGGCGAGGCGTCCACCAGATTGAGGCACTGAATTCCTGACTGTCTTCCCACATGTAGTTCCCGGCCTGACGAAGCAATTGCCTCACATCTTCGTCAAGTAACGACTGATTCCAAAATTCTATGACTGTCTGCGCTCCCTTTGCCGAGAAATGGTCAACAACCCAAGATCCGTTCTGTCGATAATTCTCAATGGGTGATTGTGGAACAGCGGCCGTAACGTCAGCTTGGCTCATGACTTCCCGGTATTCAGAGTGGACAAGATAATAGGCAAAGACTATGTGCTCTAGTCCACTCACATTCCTTGGGAACGAGAAGTCTAGGTAACCGCTCGAGCTGACCAAGTATGTGACATCGATTAGGGAGCTCTCTGCGAGTACCTTCCTGATCCCAGAGCTTGAGTTTGTTGAGCTGGAAACAGTTGCGGCGACTGCCGCAACCAAAAGGCCCGAACCCCATCCAGCGAGGTATCCAGAAAAATCCTCCCCGATAGAGACGGACACGTTGACTGAGGCGAGATCCCAGAGAAGGCCATCGTCGTCGTATGGTGCGGGGACACCGGCTCCCTGGTTTGGACCAAGTGCAAAATCTACGACGAGATTTTCTTCTTCCGCCGCTGTTAAGACAGTTTCGACCAAGTCTTCTATAAACGCATCAGTCATACATGCTGTATTGTCCTAGTTTGATCGATGAAACTGGACTGGTCATACTCCAGGCAGAACTTCCAAAACCATAGACTGTCCAATCAGACTGTAACGGTGATGCCAATTGACCTCCGAAATTGGAGGAGTCCCCATATAGATAATAGCCCAATAGCTCGATCCCCCCTGCCCCTGCTTTGCCTGCCGCCTTCACATCCTCAGCAACTATACTGAGATTCAACGATGCATCATTTGCCCAGTAGCGGAAGCGTGGCCTCACATATGAGGACGGGTTTTGGAACGTTCCATAATCAATATCGGCGCCGATCTGGTCATTGGTGCCGACAGAAAATGCACCTGGCCAAGTCACTGCCGCCAAAGCTAAAGCAGAGTTCAAACGCATTGCAACATGTTCAAGCGGTCGCGACTGTCTTCCTCGATCTACATGAAGAAAGATTTTGTGTCCGTATATCATGCATCCTGCTCTTTATGTACTCGCATTTAGTTATCCCGGTATGATAATGTGGGCGAAGCCTTCGGGCATACTTTGGTCGAGGTGAGTGCCATCCAGATTACAACAGACCACAGATCTAGCCGAAACCTGTCAAGTCCTAACGGCCACGCCTATCCGGACGGGGCCGAAATTTTCGTGGGACGGGGCTATTTTCACCAAGATTCTCAGAAGGACCCCAATCTTCCCCATTCAGCTTGAATTAGTCAAAGATGATTGGTTAAAAAGAGAATTTTTAGTCTGACAGCTTTGACTTGGATACGTTAAATCTTTGCACGCTTTAAATGCAGAAAATATCTAGTATTATTTTATAAAGTTGTATTCTTGTATATATAAATATAAGAGAAGCTAGACTTTTAACCTTAATCTTATTAGTAATCTTGTGATTGTAAGTTAACATAAATTTTCAAAAAATACATGAGGACCTGTTAGTGTCTTATACACTGTCCGACGAAAATTTCCTCCCCGTCTCGATAGCCGTGGCCAATCCTGACCAGGAAAGTTTGCGGGGGTTGCATCAAGAACGCGGGGAGAGCGAGGATTCCCCGCATGCTCAAGTCGTCTAGACTACCCCTTTCAGATCAAATTACACTTAAGCTAGACTAACGAAAAAAGCGAGCTGGGAGGCTCGGCTCTACTTGTCGCGAGGAAAGCCAAGTCCAGTGACCGAGTCCAAAAGGATCCAACTACTCCAGTACAATATATTTCTTCGCGCATTCAAAACTCATGTTGTGGACTTTGGTGCGTCTCTGTAGTGTGAATCAGGCAGCACTATGGCTTTTGACATCCGTATACATATCTTAGACACAATCGATAGTCAGCAGAATTTTCCCAAATTTGTCGGAGTGATGAGGACTGTGTCTATGGATCTAGCGTCGCGGCTCTTTGATGTGATGGTGACCTCCGCTTCAAAGGTCACCGAGCGGGTGCTAACGTAATAGGTATACCCCGCAGAATGGCTGCGCGAAAACATAGAACGAAGAGCCGAAACCCTATTTTGACAAACCCTAATGTAAAGACTGAAAGATTGTGTCTTCGCCAGTTGAGTCACCAGACTATAGAGTATATTGAGTATTTAGTTAGACTAGGAAAGATTCGTAAAGAATTTATCAGAATCGATACTATCACTACTTGTCAAGATACAAAAGTGAATAGAAGACTAGGAAAGTAAAAAGATAGAGAATAGTCTATTTTGCTATAGGACTATGTAGTGCATATGGTGGAAGGTTGTGAGGAGATAAAGATCTCCCTCACATATAAGCGAAGTGTCACAGTATGACTATATACCGAGTCCCTAAGCCCTTAAGATGATCTAAAGCAAAGTAGCCTGTAATTCCTCTAACTGGGTATTTAGACTAACAAAATCTAACTGGCCGATCCGCGCAGAGAGCTTCTAATATCGTCTCAACTAGACCTCGGAGAAGTCGGCATCGATCGCCGGCACCTTCACGGCTAAAAGACATAAGCAAGGAGTCGGTAAATACTCAGGCTTGAATTCGAATATAGATACAAAATCTGCCCCCTACCGCCTCTGGAGGGAGGGAGTTTCAAGTCCATACAAACCTCGACTCATTTAAGCTTTGATATAGTTCAGCTATCGGGAAACTACTAGAACACACTTGAAACTCATCACAAGGATGGGGTAGTACTTGGTAGATAGTACTCATTATTTTTATCCACATCAGTCACTTACAGTAAATTACCGGATGCGCTTCTACTTTGACATTGACGATCTCTTTTGGAAGACCCAAGTACTCATTCCAAATCCCACCCTTCACATGAAAGTTACTCCAAACCCCCTCTTCCGAAAACGGCTGCCGAGATCAACTTGGCGCCCCTTCAATGATCTCTCCCTCCGACATTGCCTTTAGTCCCTCAGCCCTGATAAAGTCTGAACTTCTCCTCAAAAGCGGTAGAAATCTTTAGTTATGTAATGGTGTAGGATTCAACATGTATTAGATTGTTAATATTTTCAGTGGTATGGACAAGTACGGCAAAAAGGGCGCGGTCGGTTTGTACGATATTAAATGTTGTAAATAGGGTCTTCTTGTTATCGATTAATGTAATTGTCTCTATAGTCAGGTCGAATCCTAGTAAGCCTGACGACAATCTCTAATATGAATGTTTCAGTATACTAGGCAGCCAACAACCTACAAACTACTTACATACTTACCTAATCAAAGACAGGCCTTTGAAAAGAGCTATCCAGCTCATAAAGTCCTTCTTAAAGATAAAATATTCCAAATCCTTCTTCTTACCCTATAGGAACAGGATTATAGCAACTACAACCGGGTCCTATATAAGCTACTCTTAGTATATCAATCATAGACAGTTAATAATACATACTATCGAGTCTAAGCCATACTTGCTGGGGATGAATCCTTTTACATCTGCCGCAGTAGCAGCTTCGATAACGGTGTTTTGGCTATCGAGTGCTGTGATGGGAAGCATGCTAATCACGGCATCCTGGCCTCTGAAGATATCTGTGAGCGAGTTCGGAGTGAAGTCACTCTTATAACGTTGGAGCCCTTGGAAATCACGGCGGAAGTACTACTGTAGCTCTTTTTTGGGTTATGTGTGTAAGTATAGGGATACAGATCGAGTGATGATATTGAGTTCTGGAATATAGTAAATAGGTCTGAGTAAGCGTACACCTCTTATATAGGGAAGAGTGCGTTAGCGTAAGTGTAATTGAGTAGGGAGAGGTGGTCTTAGTGTGGCATCTCATTTACTGGATCAGGCAGGGTAGTATCATGGTGCAGGAGAGAGGGAGGTGATTGTTTAACTTCGCTTTTCCCATTCATTTCTAACATCTATGGCTAGAGATAAAGCTGGCTCACTTCGCTTGTCCCAAGAAGCCTCGAGAAAGATAGAACATTATCTCATTAGATTTCCGACATCAAGCGTTTTCTCCCTCCACAAACTACTTTACCTCGTGGACAAAAGGAGGCAATGCCATATTCAACGTTTGCAACTGCAAACACAGAATAATCCATCCCTATTCTATCAACAGACACTTCTTTACATAGGTGGAGCGACCGTGATCGTGGTCGTCTCAGCAACGACACCCCAGCAATTACAGATACTGCTGTAGGCATTTGGCGAGGTGCATGCAGAGGCATAGGTGGGGATGGGCTTCTCGATCTGTCGCTCCTCGATGACCGGTGCGGCGGTGCGCTTGGGCAGGACGGTAATGCCGGAGGTGACAAACTCGGTGACAGCAAGATAGCTTGAGCAGTCGGTTCTGGCGGCTGGGTAGCGCAGGGAACCGTTAGCGAGCGTACCAGTTACGGCACGGGCGCAGTTGTTGGCGTTGCATCTGGTGGTTGTGGCACGCACGGAACTGCTGCTGGTGGTGGTTACCTGGGCGGTGGAAATGGTGAAGGTGGGGGACGAGCTGGCAGAGTTGCAGAAGGGATCTGGATTGGGCGTGGCGTCGAGCTGGACGACATCGCAGCCGGATACTACCTCCGAAGCGATTCGGATAAATTCACCACTGCAGATTTGCAAGATTGATTTGTCGCTACCATTGACGGTGCAGTCGAGCGTGCCGTTTGCGGTGATGTTGCAGATCAGGTGTTTCCAGTTGCCGGTGATCAGTGAAGGTTGGAAGATGTAAATTAAGTTGTTCTGCGTCGTGGTGAGGGCGGCTGCGAATCGGTTGGTGGTGTAGCCGTTGATACTTGTGCGCAGGAAGCCTTCCCCGGTCATGGCAAAGTCAAGATACTGGACTACCGTGGCACCCGGGATGTCGACGGCGAGGAAGTTTTGGCTCAAGGTAAGGTTACGTGTTTCGCCTCTCACGTGGGCAACGATGTTGAGAGGAGTGGCATCACATGTGTGAGTTGCTGAAACGGTGGAAGATGTTGACGTGGAACTCGACGTTGGGACAACCGTGGAGCTGGTGGTGGTAGACACGTTCTTTCCAGCGACACGGAACCACGGGGTGATGGCAGTCTCCCAGTCATTGGGGTTGTGGCGGTCTCCAAAAGTGCGGAGTGTGCGCAACAAGATTTTGTAGTCGCCGTCTGGAACCTTGGTTCCATTGGGAAAGAATCCGGTGTGGCGTAGATGGCACTGGTGAATCGCAGCAGGTTGTAGAGTGGGAAACTAACAATGGTACCGTCTAATCCGGTGGGTCGCAGCATAACCGAGCCGACCCAGTTCTTTTCTCCTGCAACGGGGGGATACTGCCAATCATCGCTAAGCATAAAGTCAGGGGTAACCCAATCCATGCTCAATTCTCGCGTTGACCAAAGAAGGTTGTAGTATGGGGCGAAAGTGTCAACTTCCATATCGTACACATGACCCTCCTCCATGTAGCCACCATAGTCACTAAGTAGGATAGGAACACCTGACGGCCAGGCATTGCTAGCGTAGATATCACCTTTGACACCTGCATAGTCGTTAGAGAGAATTGCAAGGGAAGCGGGTGATTCTTGAGGAATTCCTACCCATATAAGTCACGCGAACCTGTTCAAAGTTATCGCCGAGAATAAGGATCGCACCGCCATAGATGGGCAGCATGTTGGCATTAATAACAGCTGGCTCGGTGAAGGTGACGACAAAGGTGGCCTTTTCTCCGGCGGCAACAGTTATGTTCTGAGCAGAGATCTCGACAGTGGCAACATTACCTCTCACGAGTAGAGCATACGGAGAACACCATCGTCGAAAAGTTTCCATCTTGGGTAGTCAGATGGAATATCACAGTGATCATGAACGACATCTCAAGGTTCCCACTTCAGTGCCAGGCTGGTTCACAACTATCACAGCCACCTACAGCCGGTGTTCGTAGTGACCCAGTCCACGCTCACGTCCTCAATGTCAGAGGGGTCATCGTAGACACACTACAATTTTGTTTTCGGGTGGAGTCGTCTGATGATATGGAAAACATGAAGTTCCATAATGTCTCTACAGGCGTTGTGTTGACATTACATGAATTGGTCAACCTGCTGGGAGGGCACCCTCGGGTTAACAAATCTGACCTCAGGGGTCTATTTTTAAACACAGTTTCGACAGGTGGCTAGGAGGAGGCTGTGCGCGGGAACTGGTTCACAGGAACCAATGAGCGGTTGATGTTCCAAGCCAATGTAGAGGGAATCTGCTACGGACGCACCTTCGCCATTGGATCAAACGGCTACTGCGGCATTGCTCCCCTAATATCTCGCCCAGGGGACTACTGCGTCCTTTTTGGAGCAGATGTACCCTGTGTTTTGCGCCCGTTATTTGATGGTTCTGGCTTTAGGCTGCTTGGAGAAGCTTACATACATAAATTGATGCGAGGATCTGTAGTTAACATGCTCGAACAAGGCCAAGTCAAGGCTCGGTATATCATTGTATATTAAGCACATAACTAAGTTTCAGGAGAAGACGCATTTGACTTAACCCTTACATGTCAAAGGGATGTTAGCCTCGGGCTTTCAGTTTCAGTTCTCATTTACGACTATAATGTCCGTACATGGTATAATGTGCTTGGAAATATTATTGCTTGTGTAGTCCTGTCTAGATTGCTATAGTGGCCAGCAGTCCCCAAGCCGGGACCCGCCGACTGGACCGGCCCCGAATTGTTAGTTTCCACCGAGCAGGGCGTACTCAGAAGAGATTCGATTGCACCAACTACAACTCTCCCCTTCAAAAGAAGCAGAGTAGCTCAGCCAAGTGACGATGTTATGTTGCACGGTAAGGATTCACTTGCCCCATTCGCACTGGCAAGAAGTCATAGCATATACATCCGCAGCTGACAGGGTGCGAGCATTAATGTTACTCCCTATGAGGTGGTAAACATGTTATGTGTTGCTGGGAGCTCGATGGATTGAAATCGCTTGCAAGAAATCCCTCATTCCGTGTGTTTCGAAAGGCAGGGGACCTCCGATACGGGCCAGGCAGTGCCAAGTCTGATTATCGATTTTAACCTATTCCATGCCTAGCACTTTAGCATAGTGGTGGCCAGTAAGATTTAAGTTGTCGGGCCATCGCCGAGGCTCGCCAATATGCCTAGAAGTGCCATGCCTAAGCTAGCCAGCAAGCGTGCCAAGCAGTTTTATCAGATTATATGATAATCTGTTAGAAAGTCGACACAGCCGAACTAATCGCGCACACTATCACAGAGGGGGCACATCTTAGCCCCTCTTTCAGTCATCCAACCTCTGCAAAAGTTTTCTTACTGGGCCATACTAAGCATAGCGCAGCCATGGCACTCTCTGGAAGCCGTGTTTCGGCCTTGGTGAGAAACGGTGGTTTGGAGCAGCCCAGCACGCCTATATATGTAGGCTATGGCCGTGGCAAGTCTGTGCAATGCGAATAGTCTTCGCTAATGTGAATGGTCCTTGCCGACTCAACCTCGTACTTCTTGAGATAACTCGTTCTGATCTCGTCACTCAATACTGTCCATAGCATGACCGGCATAGTGAAGGCTCTTATAGCCGTTTCGGCTATGGCAAGCGTTGCGAGTGGTCAGGGGCATTCGAGTGTTTCCGATGATGAGATGGGTCCTGCTGCTTTCATGTGGCCGACTGACAGAGTATGGTCTGGAGATATGGACAATCAGGAACCCTGCGGCTCAAGAGCATCTTCTGGAAACAGGACAGCCTTTCCACTGAGTGAGTCTCGCCCACATTCCAAGCTTTAGGACTGCTATCCTTCGAACTATCGATGACCCCAGAGATCGCTTCTTGGCACTGACATTTGTTTTCATTTCAGCCGGCGGCGCTGTTGCTCTTGTGGCGCAAGATGACTATTACAATACAAAGATCAGCATCTCGTATAAGAATGGTAAATGACTCCCTCTATGGGCCTCTTCAATAATCTCAATTTCGGCCGCAGGCTAACTCTCGGCGGCTGTCAGACCCAACTTCTAACGTTGATTTCACCACCCTCATCGAGGAGCAGAGTATAGCTGACCTCAACCCCGGCCATACCTGCGTCACCATTCCTGATGCGCCCAGTCGAGTCTCTGCCGGCGACAACGCGACTTTGCAAATTATCTACCGTGCCGACTGGGATGCGCCGCACAACCAAACTTTCTACGCCTGTGCCGACATCACCTATATAGCGGCCGCAGACTTCACCACCAAGATTCCGTGCTTCAATGCCACCGAGCCTGGCGAGGATGATATCGCCGCCACTGCAAGCCCGTCCGCTTCTGCAACCTCGACTTCGTCCCCATCGACAGAGGGCTCCAATGGTTCTAGCGGCAAGGGTCTCTCCGGCGGCACCATTGCCGGCATCGTCGTTGGTATTGTCGTCGGGGTAGCACTCCTCCTTGGCGCGGCCTTCTTCCTATATCGCCGAAACCAGCGTAAGAACACACGGGCGAGGTTGGCTCGCATGGAGGACAATGCGCGCAAGCACGACTGGGTGGGCAGACATGACTCGACCTCCCAGAACAGCGTGCAACTGGGCAACCTCCCTCAGAATTAAGTTCGTACAAAGTATGCATCGTTGAGCACCGTAGTTCTACAGTAGATAAACAACTTTTTACACAGATATCCATAATATATCTGTCTTTAATGCTAGCCAATAGACCTCCCCCACCAGGAAACGAGGCGCACAACAACGGCGAGAATCTTGTAGATTCCCACTGGTGACTCGGTAGTTCCAATAGCGACCTTAAGCCGACAAAGTCTAGAAGTTAAGCCAGCGGTTACTCGCTACGCAACACTATGCAAAGAGACAAGGGTCAGACAAAAAGAAAACTTACAGCGCGCGACCCATCTCTAACACTCAATACGAAACTCCAATCATGACCTTGAATGATTAACTCGAGGAGGAAGAATACCGGTGACTCATCCCTCTTCTCATCATGTGCGCCGCCGCCCTTGTACAAGCTCTGCAGACTCCGCAGCTGCACACCCTGCCAAACACCCATCTGTAGCATGGCCTGATTCCAGTTCTCGGAGCCGCGCTTTGTCTCAATCGAGACGATGATCGGTAGGCCAGCCAGTAGTGCATAGTTAGTGTCGTTGATGTATTGACTAGGCTGGAAAGCCCGCACTGCATCAATCTTATTGCAAATTGTCATCGGACCGTAGGCGTCGCAGGACAGATCGACACATGAAGAAGCCGATTGCCTTGCCTGAAGAAAGGCGGGGTCGGTATTCAGAAGAGATCTTTGTTGATGTACTAGAGTAGAGGGAGTATTGTTGTCAGCTTATTCGAGAAGTTTTGATTTACTTTCAATACAATAGGCCGGAGAGCAGGCCAGTCTACTCTAACCTTTATTTGACCAGGCCAAGGTGTCTAGACAAGGTAGACAAACTCACCACGAAACGAAATCGACGACGCCCTCCCTACCGTGGGGCCAGCAAAACAGCGCGGAGGATATGATGATGGACTTCCATGTTACAGGAAGCTTCGTCTTCCATGCGCAGCTCGCATTGATTCGCCCGTTCCATTATGCGCAGGATCATGTGGAGCAGAACCGTAGGCAGATAGGATGCACTCGAGAAGACCTGATCTTAGAGGGCTAAGCCATCGAAGGGGGGTTGGCTGACTGTCGTGATCTCCGTCTAGAAAAAGAGAAATAGATCGTAAGTTAGCAAACGTAAGGAAAGGGGAGGACTTCTGGTGTTATTAGCTTGCTCACTTTTAGAGAGGCTGGGACAGTGCCAAATCCCTCAGGAGCTCGGCCATGGCGGGCGGGCAAAAGGCCTGACCCTCATGGCATAGGATATGCTGCAGCATATCCTCAGGGTTATATAAAGGGTTATAGTATAAAGTGTCCTGATCAAAGCCAGCCCTATTAAAGATAAACATTGAATCGATACTACTGCTATAACATAGGTTGTGCTTTTCGGCCTAAACAGATCTTCGTGACCCATCGTCTTGGTTCAAGCTATATTTCGAGCTTAACCACATTGGCAATCGCACAGCTTAGGCAAAATGGCCGCTGTCAACGCAAAACAATTCTCCCATACTATATATACTCTCCGGCCCTAAAAGCCAAATGATCATATAGGCAACCTCTTCCGACGTTGCGTATTTCTGTAGTGGTAAGTGGATGGTGGGAGGATTGTCTTCAACCACACTCGACATAAGTTCTCCAAAAACACCGCCAGACGCTACTGCGTTGATCTGATACCGCACGAAGCATACTCATATGCCGCACACTTGGTAAGTCCAAGAACGGTGTGCTTTAAGGTCGAATATGCGGCACAACCTGCACCTCCTGTAAGCCTTGCATCGAAGAGATATTGACTATGTTTCCAACATCACTCGACTGCACCAAGCCTTGCTCCATATGATCTACCTAACTATAGTAGGTACGTTATATCGGCCACAGATATCTACTCTGATTCTAATAGCGATGACACTAGTATAAGTCGGCAAGAGTCAAAGAATCGCATTTCTAAGGCAGCCACTAACATAAGCAAGCTAGCTTTCAATCTTCACTCAAATAATCAACTATATTATCTATCCACTAGTAGCATTCCTCCATTCCTTTCCGCCTTCCTCATACATTTACTCGACAGCCACTCACCTAATAAGAATAAGTATAACGTCAATATAGGCCGTTTCTATCAATACGTCTATATCCTTTAGCAATTATAAGATATATATATATCAGCTGACAATATAGTATGCTTCCTAAAGATAATACTCTAGAATTCAGAGTTAAAGCTTCCTCTTATCAGGCTCAGGATCAGCATACCTCTTATTCGCAACTCAGACTACTCGATTTCCCTACAAACTACACAGAAAATTAGCCTAAGGCGATTAGACATAGTATATCCTAGCCCTTCGAGTTCCGGGACTCAGTTATATAGGGAGACTATAGCTTACAACCAGAACATACCTACAATAAAGATACAACAATCATACAACCTACTTTCAAACACGTTTGACGGCTGGCCTATAAACGATAGATAATACGAAGGCAGTCAAGATCAGCCCTCCGAAATGATTTCCGAGTCGCTATATATAGGCGATTGGATAGATATTGACGGTTTCCTTCCTGCTTTACTGAACTATGACGCTCGTAGAAACTTACTGATAGACAATACCTCATAGATATTATTTCTATGGCCTGAGTTTCATGCTGGAGACTTAACAGGGTGGTGATCATGTTGTCGTTGTATTGATATTGTTGTCCAATTACAAATAAACCTATGGACACCAAATCATCTCATACGATATTTCACCTACATGTAAGCACTATCTTATCTCCACGTGACTATGATTTGCATACCCTGCGTACTTATTCTCTCTACTAGAGTGGCTGAGGGCCGGTCAGGTTTCTAGCTGTGACAGTATATTGTTGTTGGCGTGATAAAGTCTATTAAAGATAAACTTGATCAACACATCTTTGTCATTTTCAGATAGAATAGGCTAATCTCTACGATTATAGATGGGAACAGGGCGGTGTTTCATAATGACCTTTATATACAAGTATAAGAAGTCCAGTCGTCTATGCTACCCTGCACATACTGAGCATTCTGAGGATAAGGGCAAAGCTTTCGTGTGGCGTTTGTCCCATCTATTGTGCCTGTGCTCAACATCTGTGTTGGCACAATGCCCTGTTCAACCCATGGTACTAGGGCATCAAGAACGTCGTACGTTCCTGGGACATGAGGGTATGCAGAAGTTGGTCCACAGTGCCCACCACCGGGGACCATGTACACCTGGATGAATTCCGAGTCCTTACTTGACAATGGCGTCTCCTTCTTGATCTGTTCTAAGAACTGGATAGGCCATAAGGGTGAATTGTATGCGTCCGTCCAACCTTGAGTAGTGATCAACTTGCCTTCTTGGGCCTCAAACGCTGACAAGGATGGGTTGATTGTGTCGATCAATGGTGAGGTAATAGAATCAACTTTGTTGACATCGGAGTTGAAGTCGAAAGTGAAGATGTCATAGTTCGGGTCCTGGAAGACGACTTCCTTCAAGATGAGTTCGGAAAACTCTTTATATAAGGTCGTTTCCTGTAGTAGCTATGATGACTCTGATCCTAATGCGAAACCTGGATAAACCTCCTCGCCAGTCACGTTGTTTGTAGCACCGGCATATATACCTTGAGCTGCTTTGACCTGAGCTGCAGTCAAACACACAGTTGTACCGTTGACTGTCGGACTCTGGTCACATTTGTACTGTAGCTTCTTTATGTCGAATTGACACTTTATAGGGTTTTCGAGCAGGCTATCTGTGACACCGTCAAGACTATCACAGGCAGCCAGAACTGAGTGGGTTATGAAGTTTAGAGCGTCCTGGCTTATGTAGCCGCTTCCTTGGGTCTTTATTGTGTTCTATAGGAAACTGAGGATCAGGTGGCTGTACCAGTTGCCTGGGCTTCCAGCATAAATACTATCGAAAAGATCTGGATATAATGATGCCACTATATAGCCCTAGGCTCCTCCGGTTGAGTATCCGTAATAGTAGTTGTATTGTAGGGTCTCAGAATAGTATAGAGTCGTTAGATTGCGAACGATGGGTATAGTCATGACGATAGAGTTATAGATCCAGGCTCTGAGTTGACCAGCATTTTCCAAGAATGAGGCATACGTTGAGTCTCCAGATGCTGCGAGTGAATGACCACCATCACTGCCGGCGACTGTGTATCCCAGGTTGAACTCTGTCATCATTGTCGTTATGTCAACAGATCCCGCGTAACCAGAGTCGCCTAAGTAATCGTGTAAGCCAAATGTGCCTAACGAGTTTTGACATAGAAGAATCATTGGTACATACCGACAACCATAAATCGCCCATTGTAATTCGCAGTGATGGGCAGATAGAGCTCCCAAGTCAGAGTATTGGCGCCGTTGGCGTCAGTTGTAAGACCGTCATCGCCGTAAGTGACTGATCCTATGACATGGCATAGAGGAAACGAGTTGAGGATAGTTCCGCCACTATATGACGGAACGCTCAATGCGCCAGTTGCGACGTCCATAGCTGCAGACACCTGGACACCATCACCGAGTGCTGTGTTGACGAGAGTAGAACAGGTGACATCCCGAGGAATAAGGACAGCGTGTACGGCTGCCGATGCAGTCAAGACCGCCGTATAAAAACGAATGTAATTCATTATCGCAATAGGTGCGGCCAGACCAAGAATCTGATTGGACCAATCTATCCGACACGGCGAGAAAGTCCGGGATGATGGACCAATTCGTCAATGAATAGAAATGTAACGGCAAAGAAATGAGTGGCTGTAGTTGGTGGCGAGATCGTCCAACATGCATGAAACCACGAGGTCGGGTCGGGGTAGTTGTACTCGAAAACCCTCGCTTGAATGAGGTTCTCGCCAGAGAATCGGGCAACGTGGCTGCGGAAATCGCAATTCGGGTAATAAGATTGGCAATGCGAGCTTCATAATAGCATGAAAGAGCTAGCTTGATCGAATCGTGGAACCCATCTTTCTTTTCTTGCTAGGTTGATGCCTGCGCCGCATTAAGCTGGCTTAAGATGAGCAGGTTCTTGGTTTACAG